TACTGAGTACTAATTAGCAATTAGTACTCCGAGATTTGTAAAAAGTGGAAAAGGGGACTGTTGGTAATATCACTCTTTATACTGAGTACTAATTAGCAATTAGTACTCCGAGATTTGTAAAAAGTGGAAAAGGGGACTGTTGGTAATATCACTCTTTATACTGAGTACTAATTAGCAATTAGTACTCCGAGATTTGTAAAAAGTGGAAAAGGGGACTGTTGGTAATATCACTCTTTATACTGAGTACTAATTAGCAATTAGTACTCCGAGATTTGTAAAAAGTGGAAAAGGGGACTGTTGGTAATATCACTCTTTATACTGAGTACTAATTAGCAATTAGTACTCCGAGATTTGTAAGAATGAGTGTGGAATGTGGACTGTTGGTAATATCACTTTTTATATTGAGTACTACTGAGCAATTAGTACTTCGAGATTCAGGTTGCGACAGGCATACCATCTCACAAGATCATCCTTGGAGGATTCTCCATGGGTGGAGCATTGGCACTGTACGCTGGTCTCACATATCCACATAGACTTGGTGGTATCATCGGCCTGAGTTCTTTTCTTATTCAACGTAATAAAATACCTGGAGTAAGTATTTGTCCGTGGACTGTTGAATCGCTCAGGATCAATGTGTAGAAATCTTGCAGCAAATTCATTTCAGAATCATACAGCCAACCTATCCACTCCTATCTTCCTAGGACATGGTTCAAATGATTTTCTCGTCCCTTTAACATTTGGCCAACTCACTGCAAACCTTCTGAAGCGTTTAATCCGAATGCAAATTTGACTGTCTATAATGGAATGGGCCATAGTAGCTGCGCTGAGGTAAGTTTTTTTAGATTGGTTTTGAATGTTTATCCATAACCAGCATAATGTTTACTGTTATCTGGTTATTTAAATTGATACATCTGTATGAAAACGCGATATGTCTCCTTTATATTATCCTTATCTGATCACTATTTTTCACGGGAGATATGCTTTGAGCATTGGTCGTTAATCCAAGACGTTTGCACGCGGTTTGTTCCAGAACAGTCTGTTCGGGCTGTTTTCTTCAATTTTCTTTCGCGCCATCCACGGCGACTGCTTCAATCATTCTACTGTCCATTCGTTCGTTCACGTAGTTGATATAACTGATGCTTAATCTACAAAAAATCTTTCGTTTTACCGCCCTGAAAGAAGTATTCTTATTTCATGCTTGTATATTTAGAACGGGGTATAGATTAAGTGTGAGCCATATTTTGAAACTGATGTAATATAAAATGTGTTATCTATACAGTAGTATATGTGAATTATAATTGTCTGTATGTTTTCTTTTGAAATTGTGCTCAGAGAAATCTAGGCATCATTAAAATAGAACGAAAAATAGAGAATAATTACCCTTTATTCTTCTGTCTTGAATAGTCGTGAATAATTAATGGTAATATCTGCTGGAAAGGATTTAGCTAATTGCGTTTTGAAATGCACGAAAGATTTGAAAATTTTGCACCAGTTTCTTCCATAATTTTCAGTAGACATCGGGCTCGAACTACGTTGTTCGACCGGTTAGAAAGTCATGTAATAGCATGATAGAATCGTGGTTAATCAATGATCTAAGAGCATCGGCATAATATAGACAGTCATTATAGCTTCCTTTCAGGAACTTCGCGATATGAAGAGGTTTATCGATGAGAAGATAGCTAGTACGTGAAGCACTTTGAGGGATGTTTTGCGAATAATACTCAAACACGGAGAAAAGCTCATTTCATTTCTCATCCATTCCAGTGTTAGCTTTAGAGAAGTTACGTCTGCTAATTTGATAAATCGTGTCATTGACTATGTCCTTCATAATGTACAGTATAATTGTGTAGTACTTGTAGCTTGATCGGTGTCCTAACTAATTATTTTCAGTGCTGACTGAAGATAGAATAATGTAGGTTGGTGCAAAGTTATCTGGGTTTCCATTATCCAGGTTTTGCTGAAATTTCGGACTCCTAATCTATTGATCGAATAATTAATGTTGATGATTCATAAACTGAAATTACTTTTGCACCAACCCAGCAAGATAGTGCAGTCATCTATGGAGATTTTTCTTTCATAAGATGTTCGCCTCGAAAGGACACATCTTTTCTCAGATTTGAAGATCGAAAAAGTAAATGGCGAGGAAAGCTTCAAGGTCCTTATGAGGGCACTGTGCGGTAAAAACATAGGTTTTTTTGAAGTTTGTCGTTTGTAATACTTTTGGCAAGGTTTCATGGGTTAGTATATGGTTAGTGATCTAGAGTAGATGAAGTGGCAGCTTTTGATGCAATTACGTAGCGTAGTGCTGAGACGATTGATGGGATAAAATATGTGCTTGTGGATGATCCATTGGTAGCCTCTTTGAAGGTGTTGGACATCTGACCACCACTCTGAAAGGCTTTTTTGAACACTATTGCCTTTTCATGTTGTCTATGTTCATTTAACGCTTTCTTACGTATGATAAGATGTGGTCTCTGTAGTCAAAGGACCTTCCATTTTCGTTTGCACAAAATCGTAGTATATATTCTTTTTTCTATTTATGTTCATTGATAGTTTTTTTTTTGCTTTATTAAGAGCGTGGGAAATTAGCCATGCTTCACCGCTACTTTTCTAGGTATCGGATAAAAGCTTTGAAGCTTCTGGTGTTGATAAATACTTGTGGGATGCACGATGCACTGGAAATACAATATATCTCATAATTATTATTTGAGCCGACATGTCATGTGGTCTGTTAATGGGCTCTTTTATAGCCCGATACATGTGCTTGGACCTTACACTCTCGTCGATCGGGCAGAACCCTGTCGTCTTTAGCCAGTGCACTGGGGCGCTCAGTCCTCTTTACTAAGAGTAGGCGACGACAAACATTTTACACTGTAACTTTTACACTGCAAATCAAGTGAAATAATAACCGATCATACAGAGTTGTACACTTGATTGCTTTTTGGCTGGTATTTTTACAGTATTATACCTTTAATGATAATTTCACTTGACTTACAGTGTGAAATGTTCGTCGTCGCCTACTCTTAGTATAGAAGACTAAGCGCCTCGAGAGGAGTGGCTAAAGAGGAAAGGGTTCTGCTCGGATGACGAGACTGTAAGGTCGAAACGCGTGTATCGGGCTGTACAAAGAGCACATTAACAGACCGCATGACATGTTGGTTCAAATAATTGTGTGATATATTGAAATTTGAGCGTGGTCGCAATGAAACGCTCGAAACAAAGGCATTGGATTTTACTGAGCATTAGCTGGTGAATGCATATCTAGCCGGTAGAATCAGTTGTGATAACCTACTGATGTATCAAGTGCTGGCTGCTTAAATAAGTGTGGTACCATTTTTTCCACGCCGTATGGGCGAAATCTTAGCGAGCTTGAGGCGTGGGATCGAAAAGAAAACCAAGAATCGATGGGATTCTCGGAAACTTTTATTGTGAAGTTTACACTAACCGAACTGGTAAGAGACCACGTAAACCTGTTTTGGTAGTACAGTCAAGGTTTTCTGTACAGTAAGATAGTTGATTGGCCAGTGATTTGATCAGCTTAAGCTTTCATTGAAATCACTGAAACACAACAGGTTAGGCAAACTCTGAAGATTCCAGTGATCATCGTTCTTCAGTTAAAACAATGCTTGGAAGTCCATACAAACCAAGACTTCTTTCATGAAGACATGTTGTTGCATAAGTCACAAGAAGTGCTTTTGGAGCATAGCTCTTAACTCGAAGAAAGTTACTTATGATGTTACCTTCTCTTAGAGCTGGAGACGTCCCATTTTCTACATTGTGACCTGCACTACAAAGGGGGGAGTTCTGGAGTCCTCAATTCGATTTCCTTATGCGTGGATGGGAGTATTCTTAGTTTACTTGGTTGAAGAACTATGGAAGATGTGATACCACGTCTGATAATGATTAATCCGTAGCTTGATGGTCAACCTGCCAATCATAAATTTAGTTCTCAATCTACTCAAATATACTTATATGTGCAAAATTCATCACATGGCTCGACATGACGTGTATCACATCCTACAGATCTCAACACATGATGGATTCGTTTGCTTTCGTGGCATCCACCGTCCACAAAGATCTTTGAGCTTTTTCCCTATGGCTCCGGAAATTAGTCGATATCTTCTGTTTTCATGGTGAATGCCTCAGAGCTGGTCGAGTGGCTTCTTCGTAGAATCTTGTATTAGAGAGAGTAAGAAAGTTGCAGATGAGTGTCGTACGAATTTTCCGACCTCAGAGTGAGTGTTGTTCTGGGGAACCGAGTGGGATTGAACTAATGTCTTGGTAGGCTAGGGCTTCCAGCGTAGCGTAGAGGATCACTGTCATTGTGCCACAAGTTGTACGTGTAATATTTCCCTTTGAGTGGAATTTCTAATCTTGAACGACAGCAAGATTTTTAGGCCACAATTGGATCAAATTCTCATATGCAGAAGGTAATGATCAGTTTCAGCACATAATTAGCCATTTATAGAACGCCAATGAGTTCATCGGAGGAGGTTGTAAGGACGAGCTTCATGCAAGAGATATATCCAAACGAGCCTAGCAAGACGGTTTTTGTTCTCATTTTGATTTCGCACTGCGATTTTGACGAATCCTTTTATTTTCAGTGTTCACAACTGTAGTGCAGTACTAATCTGCAACTATAGCACACCAAATGATACTGTTTTCACTGCCTCTTTTGCAGTGTTATGATGTTTCATATATTCCCAAGAGAACTGAGTGGTGAGCAAAAATATGGCGTCAGGCGGGAATCGAACCCGCGTTTCATCCTATCTGGGGACGCGTACTCTACCATTGCACCATCGAGGCGCATTTGCCCGACCACTCATTCTTCAACATCTCTATATTAGCTATCAGCCGCCAACCTTAAACAGGTTTGGTCGGGTATGCGATTTCGCTTCATAAACTCTGTTGAGTCGTGAGCCATTGTGATAACTAATATTCCAAATTTCTCTTGTTTTTACTGCATTTTTCACAGTATTATGATGTGGTCGGGCGAATGTACGTCGGTGGTGTAGTGGGGTAGAGCATGCGTCACCGGATAGGATGAAACGCGGGTTCGATTCCCGCCTGACGCCATATTTTTGCTCACCATCCACTTCTCTTAAGTATATAGCACATCAATAGCTTGGTTATCGAAGTTTTGGACAGTGAATTGACAAAAGCTTTGTGATGAATTGCTTCAATACTGATTGACAGGTTATCGCATTTCATTCAGGTCTGATCACGTCTATCCGTTTTCTATCACTGTCATCTGCATGTCTGCCGTTTACATGTAATCTATACACTTGTTCAGTTTTGAGTACGGACTGGCCTATATCTTGAGGTGTTTGGTCAGTCTTCACAAAAGCATCAAATAATAATGGGCGTGATACTTCTTGAAGTCTTCAGTACGCAATACTAGTCTATCAAAGCCTGCAAAACACCCATAAATCTAACCTTTGTTGGACCTAAACGCACCTGCCTTCACTTCAATACTGGATAGAGTTTACAGGTCTAAAGGACAAATGCTGCTTTGTTTTATTAGTCTAGTTTTGTTCCACTTCCAAAAATCGAAATTAGTGAGGAAATAAATGGAGCACTGCGTGTTCTGTTCGTCAGAAAAAAAAATTAGACTCCTTTGATGTAATTTGAGCATTTTAAAACAAAATACACTGTACTTTTGACAACTAATGCAAAATTGTGATCAGTGGCCATGAATGTCTCAAGTGATCTACGATTTCCACATGATACCTCGTGAACATGATGACATTGACGATCCGGCCAGCGACATTTTATGTGGAAATTTTGACGAAATATAGCAGCGATTGTGTAGCTGACGATTTTCACGTGGAACCTTGTGACACAGTGGAAGTGGCACAGACGGTTCGGCGACGATTCCCACATAGAATCGTGCGGGCAAAGACGGTTCAGCTGTCAGCATAAATAAATGGGAACATGAAGGATATGTTTTAATGCTTCTAACTGTGCAGCACGATACCTGCGCTCAGAGCACAAAGCCAAAGCTCATTGAGGATTCAAATGTAATTAACACTTTGTTGACTTTTCCAATCAGATTTCTTCTTGAACATCATTTGTAGGGAGGAAGAAAAAGGTAATTGAAGCTAATCTGATCACCTAACTACCACACCTAAGACATGGGGATTCTTATGCACTTTCAAACGGCAGATTGATATCTAAAGATTCATCAAACGTCACATTGTTAAATCCATTCCGGCTGAAGGTACACCAGTTTCGTCGTCGCTATGCGTCATAGGTTAATGGAAGTTGGTGGGATGAATCATGTAACACAGATGTCTTGAATATTATAGGAATCTACAGCAGACAAACCATGTTCCTCATGTCAGATACCATACCAAACGGGTGAAGTGAATAAGATTTTTCTTGGTCACGTTGGATATTCTTGTTTAGATTGCTTTCAGCGCAAACATTGGAGATTTTTGCAATGATAAATACAATAAAAATTGCGAAGGTTGTGTCATTAAGGCATGCCATCATGCCATAGTGCATTTGAATGTTTGGTAGGATCCGCACATGAACAATGGTTGCTGATATTCAAAAGTACATGGTAACAAAAAATTGCCCATGTATAAAACTTCAGGATTTTGACTGTGAGAAGCATGAGCCCGCATGTGGCGAATGTAACCAATTAGGGTGAGATTTTGGTGCGGGCTAGGCTGGTATACGATGTCTGAAGTGAGTTGAGAGATGTGCTTTTCCATAGGTTAACGGTACCGGTAAGCACAAAGCACAAATTTCTCATATATTGAAACAAGAAAATCAAGAAAGGAGCACTCCGGGTTTTTCATTAGTGAAAGGAAAAGACACATGGAAGAATTATAGAAAGTTTGTAAAGAATTTTAATCACCATGTCTCTTCCGTTCTGCGCTTACCATTGCTCTCCTGGACGAACCATGCAACTAAACATCAAACAATCCTCAAAAGAAGGCCATCATACTTGGATGGAACGAAATGATAGTGATATAGATGTATATGAGCAAAAAAAAAAATAATTTGCACGCGAAAATCAGGCCTGATGTAGCCGACTGATACTTGAAAAGAGACATTTTTTTGACAATTGCTTTTTTTCAACATTACGGAAACTGGAAAGACTATCCAGAAAACTACAAAACCCTAATGTGATGCGAACTTCACATGATTCCGAAGAGTAACGATTCATTTTGCTTGTGTTGATTATTCTGCTACACCGCTTTTTCGCTATTTCATTACTGAAAAGTCACTCTAGGATACCGTTGCTGACAATAATACCACAGGTGTGGGAGTTAAGATATGCCCGTTGGGCAGATAAATGGCCTCCGCCACAGTCATATTTTTATGTGCACCGACTGTTACCGACGAGTAGGAAGGATTTTCTAACTAATCCGGTAATCCTCCAAAAATCTAGAAAAACAAATTCAATTGAAAAACATGATATAGAAGTTATTATAGCCGAAAACATCATGGAGGAGAGACAATATTGGGTAGTGCTCTTGAAGAATCCATATTGTTCTCTATTTGCTTTGTAAGCCTCAAGCTATTTCTGTGGGACCTCATTGGTAATAGTCGACTTTCATGGGATGCTAATGGAAAAACGTACGGATTTTTAATAAATTTTACCGCGAGAGTAGACGAGAATTAGTCAAGATTGTACTGAGTATGAGAAAAATTTAGGACTTTTTCCCCATCCGCACCCGTAGTTCAAAAAAAAAAAAGAATTTCTAGCTCTTTATAGACATCTCAATAATCATTCGATAGCTCAAATTCAACAAATTTTGTGGTATAGTAATTTTCAACGGCTTTTTTATTGTCCTGCAACAATAAAACTAAAAGCATATTCTATGCTCGAGCATAATTGGACACAGCCTTTCTTTCTACATTCTATTATCCATTCGGAAGCACAAATCTCTATAATTTCAATGATGTATGAGCTAAATGGGGTATAAAGTAAATAAGAAATTGGCCCAACTGGGGTCTAAAGTGGTCAGTAAAAAGTGATTAGGAAATTGAGCTGATGGGGTATAAAGTAGTTAAGAAATTGAGCCACTTTCTTCACCACTTTATATTCCGAGCAGCACAACTTCTTAACCACTCATCACCCCTGGTAGCTCAATTTCTAAACCAATTAATACCGTGGTTAGCTCACTTTCTTAACCACTTTACACCCCGATTAGAACATTTTCTCAACCACTTTATATCCCAGGTAACTTAATTTCTAAACCACTTTATGCCTCAAGTAGCGCAATTTCCTGACCACTTTATACCCCGAGCAGCACAATTTCTTTACCACTTCATATCCGTGGTAGCTCAATTTCTAAACCACTTTATACCACAGTTAGCTCAGTTTCTTACCCACTTTATACCCTGAGCAGCACACTATATTAACCACTTTATAGCCCAAGTTGCTCAATTTCTAACTCCTTCATACAACAGTTAGCTCAATTTCCAAACCAATTTATACCCTAATTAGCATGATGAACGACTTAGCTCCACAGTTGCGCAGGAGGAAGCGAGCAGCTTGAGGAACGTTTGAGAGCATCGAAAATGTAGTGAAGAGAACAAAGAACATCCGACCCCGTGTCCACCTTTTCGACTCGATGATTATCCCTGTCCTAACGTATAAAGCACAAACCTGGTCGCTACGTAAGCAGAATGAAAGATCACTTGGCGTTATTGAATGCGCAGTCACAAGGTCGATGCTAGGAGTATCCCGTATCTCTCAAATGAGAGCAAGGATCCAAAGTTCCGATCTACGTCAAGGACCGAAGATCAGAGACGCCGTTCTACAAGCCAGGATATCGGATATAAGGTTGGTCGGACACGTGATGAGCTTGAATGACAACCGATGGACGAGAGCCGTTACCGGCTGGATTCCTCGGGACATCAAGCGCTCTACAGGAAGACCACCGACCCCGTGGTCCAATTTCTTCACGAAAGGCATAGAAGAAAGATATGATGTTCAACGAATTCCTAAAGCGAGGAGGATCCACTGGTATTCTTGCACGCGATAGGATGAATAGAATGAAAAAAATGGAAGAGTTGCTGGTACCCGCTCGAGTCACTCAACGATCAACGGGACGACAGGTGATGCAGGTGATACAGGTGAATAGCGGTGGTATGATGTTATAAATATATACCCATAGATTGACACTGACGGCTGGCGTCTGACAGATAGGTGCGTTTCTGACATTCGCTCGAGCCACCCGACGACCAAGGGGACGACAGGTGATACAGGTTATAGCGTTCTGTGATAACCTGTCAAAAATCCAATTCATCACAAAAAGAGTTGAGATTTTAGCTATCTAGTGGCTGACGACACTTTAATGAAGAGCTGTGTCGGAGCCCAGCCGAGGCAATGAAGAAAATTCAATGTGAAATAAAATCTTATTATTCCTGATACTTTGTAACAAAAAGGCTTTTTATTGAAACTAAACGGATCTTTGGAATTGCAGAGATTTAAGCTTTTGAATAATTGCCAAATGTCTAGAGGAAAAGTGTTATGCAGCGATAAAGGCCTCAAAACAATCGTGTACCTCAGCTGGTACACGTCGTTCTTTAAGGGTTAATATACCACTCTACACATGTCGACTTTTGTTGGTACTTTGGATGGTAACTCTTTTCCCACAGCCTTGTCTTTGGATATAGAATTTAGATTTATAAAGAGCATGCTAACTTTTAGACAAAATAATAGAAGTAACACGCTTCGTGGTTTCTGGTTGATCATGTACTAACGGTTTCGAAACAAGTCTTCATGCTTTGACCTTCTTCTCACATTTGTTAAACCTGTTTTCTTTCTTGCTTGCTCCTCTTTATTTCGGATGTTTTTGGGTTATTATATAATCTGATAGTATTCATTTCAAGTTTATATCGATTCCAACCTTTTCTAGATTTTTCAACAATCTAAGATTGCAAAGGAAAGATGAGATTGATGAATTTCTGCATTATTGATGTTTTCGTTTGAAAACTCGTCGTTAATCGCTCCATGGTATTTTGAAATTTCGAAATTTGTTTTCAGAAAAGGAGACAAGAAAAACGAATGTACCGTCCGGGAGATGCAAGATAGATCCGATTAGTTACAATC